AGATAGATAGATAGATAGATAGATAGAGAGAGAGAGTGAGAGAGAGAGAGAAAATAGAGACAGATAGATAGACAGAGAGAGATAAAGATAAAAGAGAGAGGGATCGGAGGATAAACTAAGCACACAGACAGACAGAAAGACACATTCAGACACACATCACACCTCGATCGCCGGACAGACAGACAGCCCATAGGAAGCGCTCCTTTAGCCCGACACAGGCTGTTCCCGCGACGCCACCCCACCCCCTCCCTCCCCCTTTCCTTCCTCCTCCCCAATCTCACTCACGCATGAAACTAACTCATTTTCACCTCGCTGTAACGACCACCACAAACAATTACACGCAGGAGACTTGTTTTATTCGTTCCACGGTTTGTGCAGTCTAACATCTACGAAAGGAAACTCGCCTCTGAAACGGAGAGAGAGAGAGAGAGAGAAACACGGAGACAAGATCGATAGAATGTGTTAAACCTTCAATCATAATAGACCGGGATGGAATGACCTGGTTTTGTGTCCGTGGTTTAGCGTTGCGCCGTTATAACGAGGGAATCCGCTGGTTGTGTAGTTGTTATAATCAAATACAACTGTTATCTGAGAGGTATTGGGGAATCGACGGTTGTAAATGGTTAGGTGGTTTGTTAATGGGTCTTACGAGCTAGTTCGAATGTTGTGAAAAAAGTACTGGAAAAGTTATGATTGTGATGCACTGATAAAATATGGATAGAGATAGAGATAAATAGATAGATAGATAGACAGATAGAGAGAGAGAGATAGAGAGAGATAGAGGGAGATAGAGATTTAGATAGAGACAGAAATAGATATAGAGATAGAAATAGATATAGAGATAAATAGAGATAGACAGAGATAGAGATAGAGATAGAGACAGCCATAAATAGAGAGAGATAGAGATAGAGATGATAGAGATAGAGAATGATGGAGATAGATAGAGATAGAGATAGAACTAGAGAGAGATAGAGACAGATGGAGATATAGAGATAGAGATAGAGATAAAAATAACGAGAAGGGAAGAAGAGAGGGAGAAAAGGATTAGGTACTGTGTTATTTGTTCCTAAAACTAACATAGACGATATAAATGAAATACTGAAAGAGAATAAAAATTACGATGCTGTAGATAATAACTTGTAACTACACATTAATGAAATGAAAATTGAAAGATGTAGTGCACGGGAAGTTAAAAAGAAAATCAATTCAAACGCGTTAAATTGATATGCAATGATGTTAATTGTGCAGCAGCTAGAAATAGGTCATGTCTGTGATTAATTTAACCGACTCATGTCTTATTTTCGATTTTTTTCTTGTTTTCTTGGCCATACGAGTTCAAGGAAGGAAGTCTGTTGGAAGTTGTGGATGTAAACGAAGAGGAAATTATGGTAATATGTAGAGAGAATTATAAGCACGAGTAAAAGTGATGGCATTACACTAGTTAAAATATAGGGAGTGTATAAAATATAATAATGATAATGATAATAATGATAGCAATAATAACAATAATAATATCAATAATAATGATAATGTTATATCTCATATTCCAGGGTAATAATAACATTGATAATAATAATGATAATAATAATAGTAATTAAAATGGTAATTATAAGAATAATGATAATATCAATAGTAATGATGATAATAATAATAAAATTAATAATAATAATAATAATAATAATGATAATTATAATATATTCAATATTCCAGGATGATAACAATATTGAAAATAATAATAATAATAATAACAACAATAATAATAATCGCGTTAAGTACACATGCAAATATAAAATCAACAACAATGTTTATTTCTTATATTACGACATGTCCTTCCCCGGCCATCAGGACGAGCGACTGATCAAAGCGGCCATGAAAAGGTCAGATTATTGGCCTTATTTACGAATCCATCATGTCTGCGAGGGTCATGCACGGGGGAAAAGGGCGGTCGGGAGATGTAGGACAACAGAGGAGGGGGGCATGACAGGTCAATGTTAATGGAGATTGAACTTTCGCATTGTTTGGGGGAAGGAAAGGAAAAAAATCTGGGGTTGCGCATGTCGTTTCGCTTCTGTTTTGGCGGGAAGAAGGCCGGCCGGCGCGCGGGAAAAAATGTTTTGTATTTTTTTTTCGTTTTTGTTTTGCTTTGTTATTTGCGTTTGTGGAATAAATTTATCTATTTTTGCGGAATATAATAAGGAAATTATTTACTACTTTTTCGTTTTATAAAGCCTTTATTATAAATTAGAGATATCAAATCTAGTTACTTTACTAACCTACAGTACGCCTGTTTCCCCTTATAACAACCAGAAACAAACCAATAAAATGTAATTTACTAATTATTAAAAAACATGATTATCGAATCAAATAAATGCCACTTTTGATCTCCATTTGATCAATTCTCGCCTAAAACTACGTCAGTTTCATTGTCAAATAATTTTATCAGAAACTTTATATTAGCTGAAATTCTTACATGAATACAAGAGGGTAAAATCTCAGTATTACAACATTCTTATCTCTATTTTTCACTCTTAAAAACAAGAAATTAAGTAATAATGATATATATAAAATGCAAAGTAAGAAAGAAAACCCATACACACATATACAAAAAACACACACACACACACATACACACACACACACACTCGCACACACACACACACTCGCACACACACACACACACACACAACAAACAACACAATACAAACAAACACAATCACATTCCTCTCCCCTCCCCCCCCAAAAAAAAAAAATCCCCCACACATTAACCACAAAGAAGACTGTAATAAGACAGGGTGGGAGGGGAGGGGAGGAGGCGCCCCCCCACCTCCGAAGCCCTATAAAAGGCTTCACTAAGTCTTCCTTCTCTATATCTCGTGTCAATCAGGGTTTATCACCTGTCCATTAACCGCACACTGCACAGGTAACCTCACGCCAGTCTCTGTGTCTTGTTATTGCTATTGTTAAGGTCGCCTTGTTATTTAGGACTGGGCTTTCAAATTCATTTACTCCAGGGGGGTCACATTTTACCTAAGGGGACATATTTTACTCCAGGAGCCACATTTTACAAAAGGGGGCCAAATTTTACCCAGGGGGGCCACAATTTACCCAAGGGGGCATACTTTATACAAGGGGGCCACATTTTACTCCAGGGGGCCACAATTTTACCCTAGGGGGCCACAATTTACCTAAGGGGGCCACATTTTATCCAAGGGGACCACATTTTACCCTAGGGGGCCACAATTTACCTAAGGGGGCCACATTCTACCTAAGGGGACCACAATTTACCCAAGGGGGGCACATATTTTACACCTAAGGGGGCCACAATTTACTCCAGGGGGGCCACATTTTACCTAAAGGGGCCACATTTTACCTAAGGGGGGCCATATTTTACCCAAGGGGACCACATTTTACCCAAGGGGGGTACATTTTATACAAGGGGGCCACATTTTACTCTAGGGCGGCCACATTTTACCTAAGGGGAGCACATATTATACAAGGGGGTCACATTTTACCCAAGGGGACCACATTTTATCCAGGGGGACGCTACGATTTATCCAAGGGGATCACATTTCACCTAAAGGGACCACATTTTACTCCAGGGGGGCCACAATTTAACCAAGGGGGGCCACATTTTACTCCAGGGGGGCCATATTTCACCTAAGCGGACCACATTTTACCTTAGCGGACCACATTTTACCTAAGGAGGCCACATTTCACCTTAGTGCACAGTATGCGGGCCAGATAAGGATGAATTGACGAGACGAAACGGCCATTTCGGTCCTGCTTATAGAAACTGTCTAGAACTTTCTTCTTTCAAAGTAAAGAAGGATATAAACACACTGCACGACCATTATTTGTGAACGGTTTCTATGCACACACACTTGCGCAAATTAATGTATAGATGAATAAATAGATAAACATACTCTATTTCTCACTCTCGCTCACATCACACTCACATATAGACATACATACATACATACACACACCACACACATTTATAATAATATATATAGTATATTATATATATATATATATTATATAATATTATATATATATAATATATCTATAATATATTATACATATATGTCTGTATATATACGTGTGCTTGTGTATGCATCTATGTACCATAACCGGAATATGCATGCCGCTATACATATATCTAGACATGTTCATACGAAAACCTTGGTTCGGCCCCCTAGTGGGAGGGAGTGTATTGACAGTGTATCATATATCTTATTTTTTATGTATTTTATTATGTATATAATATATTCAGATTTTTTTATAGAAATTTGTGACAACGCCAGAGAGAAGATTTTGCATCTCGCGTTCCCGGGCAGAGCGCGGCGGCGACGCTCCGGCCGGAGGATGGCGACCTGCGCGGACGGGAGTGTAATTGAAAATATATCATATATATATATATATATATATATATATATATATATATATATATATATATATATATATACCCATTGCATATATGTATACACACACACACACACACACACACACACACACACACACACCACATATATATAATATATATATATATATATATATATATATATATATATATATATATATATATAATTTACACCACACACACCTCACACACACACACACATTATATATATATATATATATATATATATATATATATATATATATATATGTTATGTATATGTATATGTATATATTCATACACACACACACACATATTATATCTATATATATGTAGATATTGTCTATACATTATTATTATAATATATAAATATAATAGATAGATATAATAATATGTATATATTCATACACACACACACACACACGCACACACACATATATGTATGTTTATAAGGTACTATATCTAATATATGTATAGATATACGCTACATTAGATAGATAGCATAGATTGCAAAATATCGTGTGTGTGACCGTGTCCCCCGAGTACACTTTTCAATAGCCGCAAAACCGCCTCCCAAGCGCCCATCCCGCGTCCACAAGCC